CTTGTGCCCAGGAGTTGGAGGTTGCTGTGAGCTGTAATGCCACGGCACTCTACCCAGGGGGATAGCTTGAGGCTCTGTCTCAAAAAAAAAAGGAAAATAACAGCTCTTTAAATTCAGAAACTCGATTAATGTCCTTAACCCATCCGCGCACCTGCTCTCAGGAACGAGGTCTTCCATCTCGAGCGCCGCCTGCTGGAGGAGGCAGATTCCTCCACTGCCCGCCCCCCTCCTGGGGCACTCCCGGAATTGTCCAGGCATCTCAGCAGTGTTATTAGCTCTGTCGTCTGTGCCTGCTTTCCCCTGCCTTTGCTTTCTGTTTCCAATTTCAATTACTTATTTTATTATTGAGATATATTTCACAAACCATAAAACTCACTCTTTTAACGTATACAATTCAGTAGTTTTTAGTACAAAAGGTTGTGCACTAAAGCATCGTTACTATATAAATCCAGGGGATTTGCATCATTCCCCCAAAGGAACTTTGCACCTGTGAGCAGTCACTACCCATTTCCTCTGTCCCTCCCCGCTCCCGGCATACACTTTCTGTCTCTATGAATTTGCCTCTTCTGGACATTTCATGTAAATTGCACCATAAGAGGTCTTTCGTGTGCGGTTCTCTCACTTAACATGCTTCCCAAGTTTGTCCACGTTGTAGCTTGAGCCAGTGCTTCATCCTTTCTTCCAGCTGCAGGACACTCCATGTCCCATTATGTGACTATCACTTACTTCTCTTTAATTTTGTTTTATTTTGGGGTAGCTTGTGTAATTTTGAAAGGTGCCTTCAACCCCCTGAGAAACAAGTCATGGTAGACCGTTAGGAATATACGTGACCCACAGGAAAGAAGAAAGGGCTACCTAGGCCCCCCAGAGAAGAGCAGACCCCATGATCAAAGTGGTTTTGTTGCTTCTGCTCTGGGCTGGCAGAGAACTGGGCACTAAAGGGCACTACATGCACCTGTCCTCCAACCTGCTCAGTGGTTCTCGAGGGTGACCAAGGAGTTGAGAAGTGGAGCCCTGGAGAAAAATAGCATGAGGGGTGCAGAGCACACACACTCACACAGACACACAGATGTGTGCGGGCAGTGCCACTCCCTGGGGTCCTCTTCCAGCTGAAGGGTTCCTGTCAGGTGAGCAGGTTCCTGTCGGGAGGTGGGCAGTCTTCAGGGCACCTGCACTACACTGTAATTCTCATGGGAAAGGCATTTTCCTGAAGGCTGAGCAAGCTGTCCTGGGTACTTCTCACTCCCCACAAATAAATTATGTGTGTGTGTGTTTATTTGCTCTAGCTTTCTGCTGCGGGCAAAGAGGAGACAAGCTGTGAGGAAGAGGATTCTGTCTCTCTGAAGGGCTGACTGCTCATCCTGGAGAGAGGAAGGAGGATGGAAGGTGAAGAGGCAGAGTGCTGTTGACAGATGGAGACGTTCAGGGTTAGGAAGGGCTGGAAGGGCATGATTTATTTCAGGAAGAGCATACCCAAAACTGATAGGTGAGGGAAAATTAATCATTTTGCATCAATTAAGTTGGAACAGTGGAGTGGTGCAAAAATTCTGAGACAAAGTTTCCTAGCAATTCTGGTATCTCATGAATTTGCCTTATAGCCACGTGGTTCAGAGGCTCAGAAAAGGCATGTGGATCCCTCGGGGAGGAGATCTCTAAGTGGACATTCCAGGGCCTGGCATCTTATGCTCTCATGGCAAGACTGCTCTGATAGGAGAATTTCCATTTTCATTTCATTCCTTTTCATTTCCCCACTTTCTTTAGCAAGGAACACAAAATGTAATCCCATCTTAATTTAATGGCTGAGGTTATCAGTGCTGAAGGACTACTTGAGTGAGATATAAAATGTCTGTTTTCTTGGCTTTAATTATCACCAAAGAATTATGATAGCTTTTCCTCTCCACCCCAGGAGAAGAGCCAGAGCTCGTGCCCTTTACTTTGAGGGAGAGTTAAGGTCTCTGACTTTGAAAGAGCTCCTGGAAGCACAAGGTAAGAGTTTGAGGGTGGTGGCCTGGCCCTGGGAGGTTGAGGGCTCGCGGTGAGAGAGGTGGGGCAGGGTGGAGGGTCTTGCTTCTTTTTGGCACCCTGAAACCCTAGGAACTGGCCCTTTGTAGGGGGTAAGAGGATAGATACCTTGGGAAAGAGTACTCAGCTCTGCCCTCCCTCAACTTGGGAGCTGGGGTAGGTGAGCAGTGGCTGATTTGCCCCACTGAGAAAGGATCTGGTGAATATTCAAACTTCCCACCTTCATATAAACCTCATGGGCATGGACAGTGAAATATCAGTGGCAACCATGATAAGACAGAACCCTGCCAAGTCTCCTGCGCTGTGTATCCCAGAGGTTCTTTATGATGGAATCCTAAAATACAGCTGAGATTGGATTTCTCCTTATTCTTGTTTGGTGGGGACTGACCAGGCATAATTTAATTTAGAAGGTCAAAGGCAGGCACGCCGAGCATACACGTGAGCATGAGGGTAGGTCACTGGGCAGGGGGGCGGGGGGGAGGGTACCAGTGCTGTGAGCCCTGCTTGCCCCAACGTCACCCCACTTCTCCCTGCCTCTTCTGCAGACTCGAGTTTTGGGGCTTTGAGATAATTCCCCATTTCCTGCTCAGAGTTGTCTTCTGCTTACTTTCTGGGTCCTGCCTACATTCAAATAGTTCAAATAAATGCAAGCCCTGCCTCCTGGTGCATGGAGGTTGTCCTAGATTGCATCTCCTAAGTTAAAGCAATGCTAGTACAGAAGCCAGGAATTTGCCAGAGACTTCTCCAGGTTACTAGGACTGAGTAGACCCTGTCTTCATTTAGTCTATTGATTTTTTTGTTTGATTGGCATCATACTTTCCTAAAAAAAAATTGAATCAGTCAGATCATCTAAAATTAATTATTTTATATAAAAATGTCTCATTTCTCAATGTCTCTTAAAAACCAATTTGGCACCATGAGGCTTTATTGCCCCATGGCAGTGCCTGGCTGGAGCTGCCCCTTATATGAAGCTGTACTATCCAGCTGACCACAGTTGTTGTTACTCTGTGTGACATCCCACCTCTCCCTGTTCCCTTTGCCTGATGAGCTCGTGTCCATTTGTGACCCATAGGCCCCTGCCTGACATCCTGGAGAGAGGTTAGGATGTTAATCCCTCTTTATCCTGACCCTTCCTACTAAACTTTTAATACTTGCTTCTTGCCAGCATCGTTAAGTTTATTCTGGCCTCCCTTTTCTGATTCTTTCTAGGTTGTTTTAGTCTTTTTTTTTTTATCATAAGCCAAATAACCAGCCCCTACACAGAGTGTAGGATGACAAACACCAGGCGGATCAATACCTTCACAGTCCGGTTGTCCAGGCCCTTTGTGTGCTCATCAAACTCCACCCCCACGGTGAAATCCAAGGCATAGTTGCGGAACGTGCTGTTGGTTTTTGTCTTGAAGTTATCACCGTCTTGATCAATGATCTTCGTCTGAGTCAGACGTACTGCAATCTTGCGGGTGGCAAAATCAATATCTGTTGGCAAAAAGGAATTGTGTAGGTTATGATGTGCTCAGCCAGCCTCATTCATTTCTTTAACAAGGCCAGACATTCAGGACCAGAAACAGATCATGGACAGGCTACTTTTCTTTGCTTAAGTGGAAAATAAAGAGTTGTCTTACATGTGGCCAAGTTGGACATCTCAGTCCATCACTGGGAAACCCAGGAGTCTCTTCACACCTCCTCCGGAGTCCTGATGGGAGGGAGATGGAGCAGGCAGGGCTTAGCCCTGAGCTGCTGCTCCCCAACACACCACACCCTTCCATCACAGCAGCCCTGCTTTGTTCAACACATTGGGCTTCCTCTTAAGAGTTTGCTGAACAAAAAAAGGATCTCATGGTTTAAAAGAAAAAAAGACTTTGAAAACCACCAGTCTTAATCATGGATAAAGATGAAATTTTTGTTCATGTCCACAGCAGGGTGGGATAGTTACAAACTTCCACTTTTAAAGGAGATTGGAGGCTTACTTAGCTAGGCTGTGAAGCCCTAGTATAGCTTCATGTATATACTAGATAATAAACATGTGATCAGAAATTTTCTTTTGTTATTCTTGTTTTTTAGACAAAGCCTCAAGCTATCCCCCTGGGTAGAGTGCCATGGCATCACAGCTCACAGCAACCTCCAACTCCTGGGCTCAAGCGAGTCTCCTGCCTCAGCCTCCCAAGTAGCTGGGACTACAGGCGCCTGCCATAACGCCTGGCCATTTTTTTGGTTGCAGCCATCATTGTTGTTTGGCGGGCCCAGGCTGGGGATTTGAACCCGCCACCTTAGGTGTATGTGGCTGGCGCCTTAGCCGCTTGAGCCACAGGCGCCGAGCCTCTTTTGTTATTCTTAAAGGCAAGTAATAATATTTGTGTTTTTATTATAAAAACTTTCAAGAAAACCAAGGGTGTGTTTAATTTCCTAAGCTTTGTGTGTTACAACAAGAACCTAAGTGCTGAGCCCACCTGCTTGCTAAGTTCTGGATGAACATAAGTGTCACCCAGGACAAAAAGTTGTTGTTCAGTGGCATAGCTCAAGAAACAGAGGGTAATTCAGGACTGCTAAGTTTCTATCTTTGCAATGAACATCATCAAGCTCTTGGTCTTTAGTTAAATTATATCCTTTAGCCTATGAGTGCTCCAGAAACCTTGGGTTACCAATCTAAATATGTATTTTTCCTCCAGAAAATTCACACAGTGGTTCTCAACCTTCCTAATTCTGTGACCCTTTAATATAGTACCTCATGTTGTGGTGACCCCCCCACCATAAAATTATTTTCATTGCTACTTCATAACTGTAATTTTGCTCCTGTTATGAGTCATAATGTAAATATCTGATATGCAGGATGTATTTTCATTGTTACAAAGGGGGTCACGACCCACAGGTTGAGAACCACTGACTTAGAAGGTTTTCACAAATGCTAAGACTGATTCTATTAAAACCCAAGAGTAGTAATGAACTCAAGAGTATGAACGGTTCAAATTTATTGAGTGCTATTTCTCTGACAATTCCAGCCCCATCTCTGTGGTCGGTAGGTGACTACACTTCACTGTCTCATGTGGTAGAAACACTATATTGTGCCCAAGAGAAAGACCAGCAGGTATCAGCAGTTCAGGAAGCTCCTGCCAGTTTGCAGAGTTAACACCTCTGCTGCCAGTCCCATGGTAGCCAACCACTACTTCCCTCACCCTCTGCCCATTTCCTTTTGGACCCATTTCCTTTTGAATTCCTCTTTGATCACTAATGCTCTTCTTCTTCCAAAGGACCAAGGAGAAGCCTAGTTGGCCGCTTGTACTTTACTTTGGGCCAGCTATAGCTGGAAACCCACAATAGAGAATCATATCTGCCTAGGGAAGGGCCCCAATCAGACCCCCAAATGTATAAAGTCAGATTGGAGCCTGAGGGAATGATTATAAATAACATTAGCTGGTCCAGCAAGTAAAAGGATTATATAGTTGTAATCTAAGTCAAAAAGAGCAATAGGTTCAAGTTGGTGTGAGCTGGTGGGTGAATGCCAGTGCCTTGCTGGCCTGTCATGCTCAACATTGTTGAGTACCTTCCATGTCTGAGAATTCACCAGTAGGTCCCAAAGCTAGCTACCCTCAGGATCACCCAGGAAGTTTTTGGACTTATGCATCTCTAGATTATAGAGTCCTGTGATTTTGGATTTTGGACTCTGTCCTAGGAAGCTGTTTGGAAAAAGACTTCCAAGGAGTAAAATTTGAAAACCACTGTTTAAACACCCATTTGTCATGTCAGAAATGCTAAAGTGAAAACCTAGGTGACCTGTCTACACATATGTAGCTGAAACAGCAATCCCAGGAGCTGGGTAATTAGAAGGGTGTAGAGAGACATCAAGTTGAGAGGAGAAAATGGTGCTTTTTGAATTTGGGTGATCAAGGTGGGAGCCAGGGAAGTTAAAGTTAAATTAATTTTATGGGAGAATGTAGCAAGCTGACTTTTTGGTAAGGTGAATCTGTAGGCCATGCTGTGTGGACTCTTGGTAATATTTGGGGTGGCAATTAAGTCACTCTGGAACCAACCGGGAATGGTGATGCCCCATGGTGGAACCTCCCTTGGGAAACTTTGCTCACTTTGTTCTCTAAACATGCCCACAGGATAAGTGTTCCACTAGCTCCATTTTACCAATGAGGAAACGGCCTCAGAGAAGTTGTGTCACTTGCCCTGGATTATACAGTGAGGAAGCCATCAAGGTGGTATCTGAACCAGGATGGTCTGTCCCCAGGGCCAGTCCATGCCCCACGAGTTCTGGATGGCTAGTGAGGCCACCCCCATGTGGTACTTTCTATGGCTTCCCAAGATACTAGTAACTGCTGACTGTTGTTAAATTTCCCTCGGAGACATGGGGGCTTTTGGACCCAGCTGGCTGAGTGGCCCCTGTTTGAGGCAGTTTGTTTCCCAGGGCTATTGCATACTGCCCACCCCCAGCGATGGTTTTCTAGGCCCAGGGCTATGTAGTAAGTCAGAGCTGGAGCAATCTCATGCCCTCCCCTGTACATCCCTGGCTGCTGGCTTAACTTCAGCTCCGTGGCTTACAGAATTGTTTATGATCATGTCGAAACCACGCAGCCTGCAGGCGCTGGGATATAGGGCCAGAGGGAGGCTCTCTTGGCTGCCTGGGTGCTGTTAATACCACTAGTCTTCTTGGTCAACATTCACAGTGTCCAGAATTTCCCACTGAGTTTGCCAGGGTGGAGGAGTCTCATCTCTGTGGGATGCTTAGTGGATAAAAAGATGGGCCCCCGGACAAACGAGTTTGGAAAATGAGGTATTAAAATGAAGAGAAGCTAATTTCTTCCTAGAGAATTTCACAGAACCTTTAATAGAAAGATGCTTTGTAACTCCAAGGTGTGGGGTGGGGACAGAGGATGCAGTCTTTCAAAATCTTAGGTGGCCTCTGTGGTGGGACGTCCTGCTAGCAGGTGTTCCGCATAACGTGATATGGAAAACTTTTCTGAGGCATTTATCTCAGCCACCGAGGTCCTGCAAGCATGGAAATGCCTATTTAATTTTTCTCTCTTTAAGGTAACTGCTCGCCTATTTAGACAGGATCATGTGGTCGAGCATTTCATTCTTAAAAATGAATCCTTCCTTAAAATGGCTAAAAGCCACTGAAGAACGTCCTCCACCTTCTAGTCAATACAAGCAAGTGCTTGTGGCAGGCAGAGGAGCTGGCAAGAAGGTGACATGTCACATCCCAACTCATATTTCTCTGCTGCTGCCCCAGAGATGAGGTTTGGCCAGTCAGGTGACATCTACATGTCCAGCTTCAGTCCCAGATTTACAAGTAGCAGACAGAGTGGCAGTAAGTGGAGCTACTATGAACCACATCAGCTTGTTGTGAGGATTAAATCCGATAGTGCTCATGAAGAACTTTGCGGCGCCTGGCAGCCTGGGGGAATGGCCATCATCATAATCATCGTTATTATGTCCCCTGATCCCACAGGCAGTTCCCTCAGTGCCCTTTGCATTTTCCCAAATACTCAGTGACTACTTCCTCCCTGAATTCCTGCTGCTGTCCTCCCAGCTCCCCAGATTATAAGTCCCAGTCCCATCCTTGCCTCCTCTGGCCTTTTAATTTTGCTCTTTTTTTTTTTTGGAGACAGAGTCTTACTCTGTCCCCTTGGGTAGAGTGCTGTGGCATCCTAGCTCATAGCAACCTCAGGCCACTGGGTTGCAGAGATACTCTTGGGCCAGGCATGGTGGCTCATGCCTGTAATCCTAGCACTCTGGGAATGGATTGCTTGAGTTCAGGAGTTGAAGACCCCCAAGGCAGGTGGATTGCTTGAACTCAGGAGTTCAAGACCAGCCTGAGCTGGTCTCTACTTTGTCTCTACTAAAAAGAGAAAAACTAGCTGGATGTGGTGGTGGATGCCTGTAGTCTCAGCTACTGGGGAGGCTAAGGCAAGAGGATCTCTTGAGCCCAAGAATTTGACGTTGTTGTGAGCTGTGATGTCATGGTACTCTACCCGGGGTCACAGAACCAGGCTCTGTCTCAAAAAACAACAACAACAACAACAACTTGCCTCAGCTTCCCTAGTAGCTGGGACTACAGGTGCGCACCACCATGCCCAGATAGTTTTTCTATTTTTAGTAGAGATAGTGTCTTGCTCTGGTTCAGGCTGGTCTTGAACTCCTAAGCTCAAGCAACCCACCCACCTCAGGCTCCCAGCGTGCTGGGATTACAGGCGAGAGGCACTGAGCCCAGCTAACCTTTTGCTCTTACTCACCTGCTTCCTGACTGCTTCGAGGCCACACAGTTTTTCCTCTGTCCCTGATGGTACTTAGCATGTTCCCCTGACTTTTTCAGATCCAGGGCTAAGCACATAGTAGGTGTTTAAGAAATATGACACATTAGTTAATGGGGGCAGCATGGTCAAGAAGAGTGGTTCTCAAAGTGAGGTTCTTGGGGTAGTATCACCTTCAGCAACTGGGAACCTGTTAGAGATGAAAATTCTGAGTCCCACCCCAGA